TTTTTTATTGAATATATCATAAGCACGTGCACATAATATATATGTGTTTGCACAATATAAATATAAGGATCACAGTAGAATAGAGGAGTATTTCTGATTTGTATATCACTGTACTTTAATAGGCACTATCACCTTAGGATTATCAGTTATTAATGTCACTTGCATGAAGATTAATATTCACAATGATGTTTTGAGTCACTAGTAATAATTGTTTGATACATGCAGTATCTTGAAAGCTATTCATTAGCACTTGAAAGTATAAGATATACTGTACATATTGGTACATGGGAGCGCGGCACTATCTATTTTGAAAATGGGCTCTTGTGGCCGTGCAAAACACGGCCCGCACATATGTGAACCGGGGGGGAAAGTTCTATGAAACCCAAAAACAAACATACACTCTATTGTCAAAAGTATTGGCCACGCCCTCCAAATAATTGGGTTCAGGTGTTCCAATCCCCTCCACGGCCACAGGTGTACACAATCAAGCCCCTAGGCGTGCAGACGGCTTCTACAAACACTGGTGAAAGAATGGGTCGCTCTCAGGAGCCCAGTGACTCCAAGCGTGGTGATAGGTGGCCACCTGGGCAATAAGTCCATCCGTGACATTTCCTGGCTACTAAATATTACACACTCAACTGTTAGTGGGATTATAACAAAGTGGAAGCAACTGGGAACAACAGCAAATCAGCCACCAAGTGGTAGGCCACGTCACATGACAGGGCGGGGTCAGCGCATGCTGAACGCGCAGTGCGCAGAAGTCGCCAACTGTCTGCAGAGTCAATAGCTAAAGACCTCCAAACTTGGTGTGGCCTTCAGATGAGCCCAACAACAGTGCGTAGAGAGCTTCATGGAATGGGTTTCCATGGCCGAGCAGCTGCATCCAAGCCTTCCATCACCAAGTGCAATGCAAAGCGTCGGATGCCGCGGTGTAAAGTACGCCGCCACTGGACTCTAGAGCATGCAGACGTGTTCTCTGGAGTGACCAATCACACTTTTCTGTCTGGCAATTCGATGGACGTGTCTGGGTTTGGTGGTTGCCAGGAGAACGGTACTTGCCTGACTGCATTGTGTCAAGTGTAAAGTTTGGTGGAGGAGGGATTATGGTGTGGGGTTGTTTTTCAGGGGTTAGGCTTGGCCCTCTAGTTCCACTGAAGGGAACTCTTAAGGTGTCAGCATACCAAGACATTTTGGACAATTTCATGCTCCCATCTTTGTGGGAAGAGTTTGGGGATGGCCCTTCCTGTTCCAATATGACTGCGCACCAATGCACAAAGCAAGGTCCATAAAGACATGGAGGAGCCAGTTTGGGGTGGAGGAACTTGACTGTCCTGCACAGAGTCCTGACCCCAACCCCATAGAACACCTTTGGGATGAATTAGAGCGGAGACTGCGAGCCAGGCCTCCTCCCCCGACATCAGTGCCTGACCTAACAAATGTGCTTCTGGAAGAATGGTCCAACCTTCCCATAGACACCCTCCTAAACAATTGTACAAAGTCCGTGTAGGTTGAATACTTGCTGGAAGATAAGTTCAAGATCTCAGCTCTGCAAAGCAAGATTGTTAATCAATTAGCTGCCAAAATGCAAAAATTGGACAACCCTAGGGTTCCTCCCAAGGTTGCTAGGGGTTCCGTGAACCATGAGCAATTTTTCTCTTTCAGAGAAGTTCCCACTGACACCATTGATCTTTTTTTAGCTATCTGTAAGGGCGTAATTCTTCCCACTGACCACAAGAGTAAGGAGCATTCTTCCCAATGACCACAAGAGTAAGGAGCATTCTTCCCAATGACCACAAGAGTAAGGAGCATTCTTCCCAATGACCACAAGAGTAAGGAGCATTATTCCCAATGACCAAAAGAGTAAGGAACATTATTCCCAATGACCAAAAGAGTAAGGAACATTATTCCCAATGACCACAAGAGTAAGGAGCGTTCTTCCCAATGACCACAAGAGTAAGATGCACCCTTCCCAATAACCACAAGAGTAAGAGCATTCTTCCCACTGACCACAAGAGTAAGGAGCATTATTCCCAATGACCACAAGAGTAAGGTGCATTCTTCCCACTGACCACAAGGGTAAGGAGCATTCTTCCCAATGACCACAAGAGTAAGGAGCATTCTTCCCAATGACCACACTAGTAAGGAACATTCTTCCCAATGACCACAAGAGTAAGGAGCATTCTTCCCAATGACCACACTAGTAAGGAGCATTCTGCCCAATGACCACAAGAGTAAGGAGCATTCTTCCCAATGACCACACTAGTAAGGAGCATTCTGCCCAATGACCACAAGAGTAAGGAGCATTCTTCCCACTGACCACACTAGTAAGGAGCATTCTGCCCAATGACCCCAAGAGTAAGGACCATTCTTCCCATTGACCACAAGAGTAAGCAGCATTCTTCCCAATGACCACAAGAGTAAGCAGCATTCTTCCCAATGACCACAAGAGTAAGGAGCATTCTTCCCACTGACCACAAGAGTAAGGAGCATTATTCCCAATGACCACAAGAGTAAGGAGCATTCTTCCCACTGACCACAAGAGTAAGGAGCATTCTTCCCATTTACCACAAGAATAAGGAGCATTCTTTCCAATGACTACAAGAGTAAGATGCATTCTTCCCAATGACTACAAAAGTTTGATGCATTCTTCCCAATGACTACAAGAGTAAGGAGCATTCTTCCCACTGACCACAAGAGTAAGGAGCATTATTCCCAATGACCACAAGAGTAAGGTGCATTCTTCCCAATGACCACAAGAGTAAGGAGCATTCTTCCCAATGACCACAAGAGTAAGGAGCATTCTTCCCAATGACCACAAGAGTAAGGAGCATTCTTCCCATTGACCACAAGAGTAAGGAGCATTCTTCCCACTGACCACAAGAGTAAGGAGCATTCTTCCCACTGACCATCACACTAAGGGTTCCTCCAAAAAGGTTTAGAAAGACTAATTTGAGTGAATAGGTTGGCATGCTTCATGGAGGCTGCTCACATAAACATGAGCACCCCCAACACCAGAGGAGGCACGAGAGAGGTCCAAATCTGTGGTAGTAATGGTCTTACACCAGTAGTCATAGACTCCAGAAGGCTTTTATTTAAATATTTAAAGTCAACCTATAGGCTCAACTTTTTCCTTTCATTTTGGATAGAGTAGAGGAGGGTCATAACTCCTTTTCATTAATTGTTTCCCAGCTGTGTCCAATTTGGGAAATTTCCCTTGACTTCCTGTTCCATAGCCAAAAACAGGAAGTAAGAGGAAATCCCTACAAAATTAAGGGAATGTGTTGGGGACCCCCAGGCCACCAGAACTAGTGTCCCAAACTGGAAGATTTCCCCTCTATTACTTTTTCGAAGACAACCCAAAATTGTAGAATTTCTTTTATTTTCACTTTCATTGATGATGGTAAAAAGGACAAACAGAGAGGGGGAATCTTTCTAATGGGGGCACAGCAATAAAAACTGACAGGGGTTCTAATCCCTTTCAACCCTGTCCTAAATGAAAGAAAAATTTCTGCCTTTAGGCATACCTTAATGGAAGACAAGATTTAACGCATTTCAGGGGTTTAGACACTCCCCTTTCACCAAAGCTTATGTATTGCACGACCTTATAATATATATACTGTATACATATATATATACTGTATATATATATATATATATATATATATATCAGATAATACCACCAATGGGTTCTATACCAGCCCTTCTTAAGTATCTGTTCATGGAATCCAAGGATTCTTCAGAGGTTGGGGGTTCCTTCAACATTGACCTTTGGCCAGATGGCATCTGCATAATTCTGGAACCAATGCCACTCTGCAGAGCCAGCAGCATGGGACCGGTGGAGCTCCTTTTCTCTCAGGTAGGTTCCGATTGACACCAATGAGCCTATTAGCTGTCTATAAAAGGAGCCTTCTTTCCACTGTCCTCCAATTATGGGGTCATACATTGGCCATCGCCGCAATGGCCATTCTCATTGAGTGTAATAGGACACCCATAAATGAGTCTTCATTGACCACCAATGTATTGTGGCCAATGTATCATGAGTTGTAGATCTAATTATTGGTATTAAAGGTTCGCTGAGACCTAAAAACTATTTTGAGGGCTCCTCCATGGTAACAAGGTTGGGAAAAACTGTTGTACACTGTATAATCTGCTGGTGGTATTTTTCAAGTGTTACAGATACAAATATTATCAACATCTTTCATTGATAGCGCAAAAAAAAAAAAAACACACAGGTGATCAAATACCTCCGAAAAAACGCTCTGTTCGTGGAAATAAAGGATGTAAATTTAATGTGGGTGCAGCGTCGCATGACCGCGCAATTGTCAGTTAAAGTAACGCAGCTCTGTCTCGCAAAAAAAGGCCTGGTCAGGTGGGGGAGGTGATTTGGGGTAAATCCTCTGGAGGTCAAGGGGTTAAAATGCAGGCATTGCAAGTTGTGTTTACTTTACAGAGAACTATGGATGAAGACCTTTCAGCGTTCCTTTTTCGGATAAGCTGAGCCCTAGGCGTGCAATTTCTTATATAATACTCAGGTGTGAACTAGCCTGGGGGGGGTCAGGGTGTCAAATACAAAACAAACAGACAGGCTGTCTCACCTGTAATTATATAAGAAGATACAGCTCAGCTGATCCAAAAAGGAAACTTAGAAGATACGTTTCCGAGCAGGGGTGGACTGACAACTCATGGGGCCCCCGGGCAATAGGGGATCATGGGGCCCCTGTGTCCTTGCCCAAACTCAAAAAAGCCTATAAAAAAGGTACCAGGGGCATCTCATGGGGCCCCCTACTGACCCCTGGCCCTTGTGCAGTGCCCGAGTTTCCAAATGGTCAGTCCGCCCCTGTTTCCAAGTGTTCTTTTCCTTCTAATAAAAGTAAATACAGCTTACTAGTGATGGGCCGAACAACCCCCCCTGTTCGGTTCACAGTCGGACATTCGAACCTACCGAAAGTTCGACCGCAAACTTCGAACAGAGGGGATAATTCACTAAGCGGTATCTGAGTATGTGGTAAGATACCGCACAGCTACTAATTATATGATGAAGTCATGTGGTCAGCAGTGGACTGACCATTTGGAAACTCGAGCACTGCCCAAGGGCCCGGGTCAGTAGGGGGCCCCATGAGATGCCCCTGGTACCTTTTTCATAGGCTTTTTTGAGTTTTGGCAGGGACACAGGGGCCCCATGATCCCCTATTGCCCACGGGCCCCATGAGTTGTCAGTCCGCCCCTGCATGCGGTATATTAGTAGTGAGATATTCATTCATTCATGTTCCAGCTGTCGGTGGGGTTCCCCGCTGACAGCTGAATGTAAAAAGAATTGTCGGCATAGCCCGGCAATTAAACTTTTTTTTTTAAAGGCATAGGGTCCTCCCCCCATCCATACCAAGTCTGGTATAGATTTTGAGGGGACCCTCAACGCAAAATTTAAAAAAAAAATGGCGTGGGCCCCCCCCCCAAAATCCATGCCAGACCCTTATCCGAGCATGCAGCCCGGCAAGTCAGGAAAGGGGGGATGACCGCGTTCCCTCTCCTGAACCATAACTGGCCACATGCCCTCAACATGGGGGTGTGCATTGGGGCAGGAGGGCTCCCCCCCCAAAGCATCTTGTACCTATGTTGAATGCATTATATATATATATATATATATATATATATATATAGAGGCGGACTGACCATTTGGAAACTCGGGCACTGCCCGAGGGCCCGGGGTCAGTAGGGGGCCCCATGAGATGCCCCTGGTAGCTTTTTCATAGGCTTTTTTGAGTTTGGGCAAGGACACAGGGGCCCCATGATCCCCTATTGCCCGGGGGCCCCATGAGTTGTCAGTCCGCCCCTGTATATGTATATATATATATATATATATATATATATATATATATATATATATATTTATTTATTTATTTATTTATTTATTTATTTATTTTTTTTCAATATCATTTTTGCTTCAATGTGCAAAAATATTGAATTATGGTATAAAATGATTGCTTCTTCTGGATTGACACAGCACAAAGAGCATGGAGCTAGGGGCTAGATCAATCTACAACAACCAATCAGTTTTCCATACAAGTTTAGAAATATAGTGCTCCATCCAGTTCTTTTGTGTTTCCTGCTCTATCTACAGTGAAGGAAATGCGTATTTGCTCCCCTGCTGATTTTGAATGTTTGCCCCTCACAAAGAAATGATCGGTCTAACAATGGAATGTTCGGTGTATTGTAACCCTGAGAGACAGAATAGCAACAAACAATTCAAAAGAAATGCTCAAGAAGAAGCACATTAAGGTCCTGGAGTGGCCTAGCCAGTCTCCAGACCTTAATCTGATTGAAAATCTGTGGAGGAGCTGAAAGTTCGAGTTGCCAAACGTTAGCCACCAAACCTTAATGACTTGGAGAGGATCTGCCAAAATCCCTCCTGAGATGTGTGCAAACCTGGTGGCCAACTCCAGGAAACATCTGACCTCCGTGATTACCAACAAGGGATTGACCACCAAGTACTAAGTCATGTTTTGTGGAGGGGATCAAATCCTTCTTTCCCTCATGAACATGCAGATCCGTCATCATTTGTTAGACGCATTTCTGCTGAATTTGTTGTTGTATTCTGTCTCTCAGTGTTATACCGAACATTCCATTGTTAGACCGATCATTTCTGTGTGAGGGACGAACATTCAAAATCAGCAGGGGAGCAAATAGTTATTTCATTCTCTGTACATCTCTTTGATTTTTTTGTTGGTTATTTGGTGAACTAAACCATTACCATTTCTTAGACTAATCACATACTTTCTGAAGAGGAAGTTAAATTCCATAGATGTCACTTTTGTCAATAGAGAAGCACACCCTGGATAATGGAGGATTAGGTGAACAGTACGTCCAGCCAAAACTTTTTCCCTATTGTTGGGTAGGGTGGAGAATGGTTAGAACCCTTGTGGGTTTTTCCTGCTATTTGGGGTTCCATGAGAAAGATGTCCCTTCTGTTCCTGTCCTGCTGACAATGTTTTACAAGATATGAAGTGAGCTGCTCCCTCTGACTGACGGTGGACTATTTAATTAACTTTCTTTGAACTCCTCACATACTTTCCGAAGAGGAAGTGGAATTCCTTAGATGTCACTGAAAATGTTCTTTTGGCTTGTCATAGGTCTTAGACATCTAAGAAAGTCTCCTGTAGAGCAACGGGAGGTGAATAATTGGCCTGCCCTTGAAGGCATTGCTGGAAAACTGGAGCCATCGTCATTCTTCTTTGCAATCAGTGCTTACTCAAACAGAAATATTGAAAAAAACAGTGTGGCATAATTCCTCCATCTTGCACCAATAATAGGACATAAATTCTTCCTCTGACACCAATAATGGGGAATTATGTCTCCCACTGACACTAATGATTGGGCACTATTCCTTCTATGTGCTGTTTTTTTTATTTACTTCCACTGACCACCAAGACAAGGGTATTGTCTACTCCAATGGCCACAGTCCGGCCCCCCTCAAAAGTCTGAAGGACAGTGCACTGGCCCTTTGCTTAGAAAGTTTGGCGACCCCTGCCCTAGACTGATCATTGAGCCTGAAGAATGAGTGAGACAGGAGGCCTTTAGGCTGTGAGCTCTACAGAAATTGTCTACTCCAATGGCCACAGTCCGGCCCCCCTCAAAAGCCTGAAGGACAGTGCACTGGCCCTTTGCTTAGAAAGTTTGGAGACCCCTGCCCTAGACTGATCGTTGAGTCTGTAGAATGAGTTAGACAGGGGGGATTTAGGCTGTGAGCTCTACAGAAATTGTCTACTCCAATGGCCACAGTCCGGCCCCCCTCAAAAGTCTGAAGGACAGTGCACTGGCCCTTTGCTTAGAAAGTTTGGAGACCCCTGCCCTAGACTGATCATTGAGTCTGAAGAATGAGTTAGACAGTGGGCCTTTAGGCTGTGAGCTCTACAGAAATGTTGGAAAAACATGCAAGGGAAATGTATGTGTGAGACCCCATTCACACTTGAGCATTTTTTCAGCTGTATGATAGATGCTCAGAAACGATCAACAAGTAAAATCCCATTTCCAATGGCCCCTGTTCACACTTGAGCATTCTGTTGCCTGCTGCAAAACACATTTTCATTCAAAAAAGTACTTTATGCTACTAATAAATTTAAATAACAATTAAATGTTGTGCTAAGTGTGAAAGAAAAAAGATCTGTAAAAATAAACAAATTAATAGTGTAAACATCTATACATACCAGGGGCGGACTGACAACTCATGGGGCCCCTGGGCAATAGGGGATCATGGGGCCCCTGTGTCCTTGCCCAAACTCAAAAAAGCCTATGAAAAAGGTACCAGGGGCATCTCATGGGACCCCCTACTGACCCCGGGCCCTCGGGCAGTGACCGAGTTTCCAAATGGTCAGTCCGCCCCTGATACATACACAATACAACGTGCAAATGATACATATAAGCGATAAAATATACGTTCCATGTAAGGAACAATACCGTGTTCAAAGTCCGTGTGAATAACAAACACTTTGCGAAAAAAGACATGTGTTTCTTGAAAGCAATATTATTGATACTGATCTTCTTTTCATCCAATAAATCGCCAGCGTGAACAGACCACCACCATATGTGTAAAATGGAGGCTTACCAAATGAAAAGACCCCTTATTATAGGGGGTCTTATAAGGCTCTATATAGATGTAACTCCATCCGAACCTCTATATCATAACCAGGACCCAGATTCCACTAAGGTCAGTAAGCCATTCTCATAGCGGGATAGTATCATGTAAAATAAACCATGCCTCTCATAGTGCAGTAAAAAACCTAATGTGCCTTTATTGCGCAAATAAAATCCTACTTAGAAACATAAAAGGAATATCAGCATTCAAATACAGCTTCCAAGATGGCGGACAGCATAATGACATCAGAGGGTGGCTCCGCCAGACGCGTTTCGTCATCAACAGACATCTTCCGGGGCTAGGGAACCGCCCTCTGCCATCACGTATAAATAGAAAAGAAACAAGCCTCGATTTGGAACAGAACCAACTTCAACCATATATAGAAACCGGAAAAAAACCTATATCCAGGACCAAGCCTGGTTCGTTTGTCATTACAGGAACATGGGAAACAACATATATGTTTTCATGTTTGGGTTTTAGATTTTCATAACTACTGCTATTAACCCACCAGAAACAACAACTCATAATGTATATTTATTTATTTCAGGTACTTATATAGCGCTGCCAATTTACGCCGCACTTTACATATATATTATACATTCACATCAGTCCCTAACCCTCAAGGGGTGTACAATCTAAGGTCCCTAACCCTCAAGGGGCGTACAATCTAAGGTCCCTAACCCTCAAGGGGCATACAATCTAAGGTCCCTAACCCTAAAAGGGGCGTACAATCTAAGGTCCCTAACCCTCAAGGGGCGTACAATCTAAGGTCCCTAACCCTCAGGGGCATACAATCTAAGGTCCCTAACCCTAAAAGGGGCGTACAATCTAAGGTCCCTAACCCTCAAGGGGCATACAATCTAAGGTCCCTAACCCTAAAAGGGGCGTACAATCTAAGGTTCCTAACCCTCAAGGGGAGTACAATCTAAGGTCCCTAACCCTCAAGGGGCGTACAATCTAAGGTCCCTAACCCTCAAGGGGCATATAATCTAAGGTATATGATTCCATGTTTATATATTATAATAGTCCGGTCCATTTATTGAGGTAGATCATGATTTTGGAATAAAAACTTTTTTTTATTCATGTGTTTTGCAATAAGTAAAGTGAAGGTATTTTAAACATCTATTTTTCTACATTGCAGCCATCTGCAAATTCATTTCCTCTATTCAGCATTTTCCTTTCTCTGCACAAATCTAGCTAAGATCAAAACAAGTGTGCCATCTTGTGGCTGCAATGATGTGGTGTGGGACTTCTCTAGAACAGCGTTTCTCAACTTTCTTTCTCAGTCGTGGCACCCATTATAACTATGTAAAATATCAAGGTACTCCAGTCTAAAATGTATAAAAACTTAAATATTACTTATCAATGGGAAACTTGAGACTGGGATGATGCACACAACCACCTTGGATGAAAGGAACTTCACACTGGAAGCCCCTTTTCACATCAGAGCTTCCTTGTCAAATCAGAGGTCCCCTATCACATCAGAGGTTCTCCATCAAATCACAGGTCCTCTCCATCACATCAGAGGTTCCCCATCACATCAGAGGTCCCCTATCACATCAGAGGTTCTCTATCACACCAGAGGTCCCCCATCACACCAGAGGTGCTCCATCACACCAGAGGTCCTCCATCACACAAGAGGTCCCCCATCAAATCAGAGGTTCCCCATCAAATTAGAGGTCCCCCATCACACCAGAGGTTCTCCATCACACCAGAGGTCCCCTATCACATCAGAGGTTCTCCATCACACCAGAGGTCCACCATCACACCAGAGGTTCTCCATCACACCAGAGGTTCTCCATCAAATCAGAGGTCCCCCATCACACCAGTGGCTCTCCATCACACCAGAGGTTCTCCATCACATTAGAGGTTCCCCATCAAATCAGAGGTTCCCCATCAAATCAGAGGTCTCCCATCACATCAGAGGTTCTACATCACATCAGAGGTTCTCCATCAAATCACATGTCCTCTCCATCACATCAGAGGTTCCCCATCAAACCAGAGATCCCATATCACATCAGAGGTTCCCCATCAAATCAGAGGTCTCCCCCTTCACATCAGAGGTCTCCCATCCAATCACAGGTCCTCCCCATCACATCATAGGTTCCCCATCAAATCAGAGGTCACCTATTGCATCAGAGGTTCCCTATCAAATCAGAGGTCCTCCCACCATACCAGAGGTTCTCCATCACATCAGAGGTTCTCCCTATAATGTCAGAGTTCCATTTTCAAGTCAGAGTCACCCCTTCATGTCAGAGACTCCCCATAACATTGCAAACACCCCTATACATCAGAAGACCCTCTATACACAAGTCCTGGCATGACATCAGTGTCCCCCCATCACCACAGAGTTACCTCATCACAGAGCCCCAGTCGCACAGCAATGCATGCCACCTGCCCTGGATCAGAGTCATGGGCAAAGAAGCTGTGGATCCTGGTCTTAGATCACCTTTTAATGTTATGGTACTGGTGGCGACCCACTAGCACCATGGAAACTCATGACACCGATCCAGAGCAAATTGGTAGAGCAGAGACAGCATCCTGGTTAAGAATCATTAATCTAGAAGGATAAAATTGTATATGCATTTATTTTGTAGACACATTATAATACTCACCAGTGCTGCAGGGCCGATTATAACACCATCTGTGTCCATGTTGGGCCACTGGATGTCCTTGTAATTATACATCACAAAAGTGAGCGTTCCATCTGTGATCAGGACTACCTGAAAGGTGGAATCAAAGAACAAGTAATGACCTACATAGTGAAATAATGTATGCAAGCAAATCATTAAACCGTGCAATTTATCTTTTTTCTATAATGTCAATAAACCATATTATAACATTTAAAACCAAAATCCATGTCTGAGTCTGTTATGTATTGGATATTAGACTTGAGGCCTGACAATAATGAGACAGTAGTTTGTACTGGATGGGGTCAGTCTGTATTGAGGAATCTCTGCTGGGGGGTATAAGTCTGTACTGGGGGTCAGTCTGTACTGAGGGGATTGTACTGGAGGGGTCAGTCTGTACTGAGGAATCTGCACTGGGGGGGGGTCAGTCTGTACTGGGGGTCAATCCAGGGGCGGACTGACAACTCATGGGCCCCTGTGTCCTCGCCCACACCCAAAAAAGCCTATGAAAAAGCCAATGAAAGGTACCAGGGGCATCTCATGGGGCCCCCTACTGACCCTGGGAGTGCCCGAGGGCCCAAATGGTCAGTCCGCCCCTGGGTCAGTCTGTACTGAGGGGTTTGTCCTGGAGGGGTCATTCTGTACTGAGGAATCTGTGCTGGGGGGGGGGGGGGGGTCAGTCTGTGCTGGGGGTCATACAAAAAAGAAGGGTTTGTGAAAGGGAATTCACAGAAAGCGGCTACATTATGAACAGAATGTGATACTCAGAAAAATTTCCAAAAATTATGCTTTATTACATATAAATATTTGACATATGGGCAATCGCCCTGGTTTACCATCACCTCAGTATGAGACAATACACACAGACCTAAAACCATATAAAATAACACCAAGACCGGTCTGGATAGATGTGCTGTAAAGACAATGACCACTGAAGTCTAAAGTCTTTGTAGCACTGGCACATAGGTTAACACTTCCCAAAGGAGGTGTACACAAAAATGATACCATAGGAATATAGTGTCACATGTAATAAATATAAAGACATGTGTCATGACCATATAGGTTCTATCCCATAGAGGGGAATTCCCAAAAATTATACCAAAGGTATGAAATATCACATGTATACAATGCAGCGAGCACAGTGTGCGTCAAAAGAGAGGCATAACCATAAGCCTATGTTAGGCAGCAAAAAGGATATCACGTATGAAATGCAGTACAGTCCCATGCCAGCACATGTGGTTGGGGCCCATTCATCTGTAATATAAGTGACTGATTCTTAGGACTTTTTAGATATAAATAATGCCCCAGTTGTTGCCTGGATGGAGAAACAGATGCAAGTAGCAGAACACTGCTTCAAGTGATTTCTTCACCACAGCATGTGGACTACACACCACTTTTGGTTGAAAACAAGAAAAGGCCCAGCGGCTCCTCCGCCCGTTGAAATATATGTGGCATGCCTTGTTTCCTATATAAAGCACCATAATGTCCCCATCCACCTGTGCAATGGGTAGTAAGAACGAAAAGGATATCCTTCGTAAGTACTGCCCTTCAAAAGGTCCTGCTGTATGGAACCAAGGAAACCACCGCTAACATCAGCCGACATACCGCGGGTTCCGACCTCTCCATGGCGCCTGTGCCGCCTAAGTATGCCTCATGGCATGTGAAGATGGCTACTCCTTGTAGGTCAGCGTGCGTTCCACCTAGTGCGCATGACCGGAAGTGACGTATCTGACGTATGACGTCAAACGCGTTTCGCCGATGGGCGTATCTCATGGGCGTACCATGGTCCTGACGAAGCTGAGTGAGATACGCCCATCGGCGAAACGCGTTGATGTCATACGTCAGATACGTCACTTCCGGTCATGCGCACTAGGTGGAACGCACGCTGACCTACAAGGAGGTAGCCATCTTCACATGCCATGAGGCATACTTAGGCGGCACAGGCGCCATGGGAGAGGTCGGAACCCGCGGTATGTCGGCGGCTGATGTTAGCGGTGGTTCCTTGGTTCCATACAGCAGGACCTTTTGAAGGACAGTACTTATGAAGGATATCCTTTTCGTTCTTACTACCCATTGCACAGGTGGATGGGGACATTATGGTGCTTTATATAGGAAACAAG